GTATGGTTCACGAGATAGAACGAGAGACGACTCGAAGACGACGGGCGAGAGGGGGAGAAATATAAAATGTCTATCGATCGATATGGTAATTGCGTTCGAAGCTCGCTATGCGTAACGAAAGTTTTCTGAAGGCAAACGAATGGAGATCTGAGGAAGAGAGAAAGAAATAAAAATAGAGGTAGATGCCAATTTTTGTGTTGTATAACGTGATTCGTAACAATGACGGCGAGGAAGATTCGTTGTGAAAGAGCCGTATATTGAAATAAAATCCAGTTACATCGCCGCGATATTTGTAAGCGAAAGCAAGCAAGAGGAGAGAAGGGTAGAAGGGGGGACGCGCAAGACGGAAAATAGCGGAGGCCCCCGCGCGGATCGTCGCGTTTTCCATTTCGTTAATGTTTTCTCCAGTATTATCTAGTCCTGCGAGCATCCTTTTCTCAGTTAACGTTTTGTCATTTTAAGAACGGACCATGCGGCGTGCACGCGCGGGAATGGAGTCGCGAGAAAGAAGAAACCCTCCCTTCACCTCATCCCAATCCTAATCCCAACCCCTATGCCGGTCCCGATTTCATTTGTTATAAATAAAGACTCAAAATCGGTAACGTGGCAGACATACTCGTTTTTCTTTCGCCGGTCGTGGCAAAAAAAATTATAATTTTACTCTTTCTCTCTCCCTCTCTCTATCTCTTTGTCTTTTTCATTCTCTCTCCCTCGTTCTCGAGGGACGCGATCGGTGCGTGCGATTTAACACTAGAACCACCGACAAATTTTACGCACAAATTTGCCATGCACGTGTGAAAGTGACATTTCCGTTGAATATATAAATCGAATTACTTCAACGCGGCGTAATCGTGCGATTCTCGGCGGTCTCGGGTCGAGGAATCGATCGCGCGATCGAAGAGATGCGCGTTGATTATCCAGGAACACAGCAATATGGCTCTAGTGTTAAAATGCGAGATACGCACCGACGATTTTTTTCTCCGTTTTAAAAGTCGCCCGCGCATTTGGGGTTGCTCGAAGGAAATTTTCGAATATGGCGCGACTGGTTCTTCCCTTTCGGCGATATTCCTCGGCGCGATTTGGAAGGCGGTCGATCGGAGCGGGGTCGCGTGACTCGGTTTTAGCATTTCAGCGCGAAGCGTGGGCGGATATGATTGTGTGTGAGCGAATGCTAGGGTGTAACTGGGTCGATTGCATGGGTAAAATAATCGCGAGTGAACGAAGATGAGCCGGGGAGAAACGATGTCGTTGCGGACAGATGTGTGCGGGAGGAGGAGGACGTCGTGATCCGAGCAAACTGTCGTTGCACGGTCTTAGCACGCGTCTTTATCTTTTTTTGTTTCTTTTCCGAGGAGAAATTGCTTGGAATGATTCTTTTCCGAGGAGAAATTGCTTGGAATAAGCTCGGCATTTCCTTTTTCCTCTTCCTTCCTCTCGATGGCTCGCTCGCCCTTCTTCGCGAAGGGCGGGCACTGAGATAACGGGAATAGAGAAGAGGACAACATATGGAAAAGAGCGCTTATGGCTTCAGTGTGGGAATGGCTAGACCGCGAAAAAGCGAGGTTTTTAAGTATAAGGTGAACGCGACCGAATCGAGTAACGTTGTCTGCGAGGCGAGTTCGCCTTCGTCCTTTCGCGATTCGCGAGTCTTCGACGATCACGGTCCTCCCGACCATTCGAGAGAAATGAGAAAACAAACGATTTCCCAGTCGAGACACTCAACATCCGGAACGACATCTGGTCTTCAGGCGAATTCTTGGAATCTCTCAAATCGCTGGCTTTAATCGTGATTTAACTGATTCCTCGTCTTTCAGTTTTAGCTCGATGCCCTTCCGGATGAACCCGGACTCACGAGATTCACGTGCATCAAATACGACAATGCTGCGTTTTATTTCGGTTTTTTTTTTCTTTTTTTCTATTTGCCATCGATTGCGAAATCAGCGAGATTTATGCTCGACTCGACTCGACTCGACTCGAAACGCGCGACCTGAACGCAGACGTTCGCCGAAGACAATGCGATTGCACATCGATCGACTAGCGAAGGCGCGAAAGGACACGAAGGCGTGAATGGAACGCGAGTGCATGTGTATATGTTACGTGTAGTATAAGTGCGTGTATGTGTGTTTGTGTGTGTGTGTGTGTGCGCGCGCGTGTGCGTGCACGCGTGATTGTACGCGCGCACGCGGGTGTGTCTCGCAAAGCGAAAGAAAACAAGTTTTTATCAATATTAAGTCTATACGATCTGTATATGTCTTGTAAATATATATATATATACATATATATATACATATATATATACGTGCATAGATATATGTACATACTTGTGCATTTATACATTCGACACGTCCTGTACGTGTTCAACCATCCCGACAATTCAATCTCCTTTACATCAAGCGATCGATCTTCATTCTCACAAGGCTTAGCGTAGTTATGTAATTACATCTCCAGAATTAAAATTTCAGCTCGAGATAACAAATTCGACAAATGAATAAAAATAAAACGTAAGGATTTTGAATTTCTTTTTTTGATTTCTTTGATGATTCTAAACGCACTCTACTCTTAATACTAGTGCTATTCACATTTAATTAAATTTTTTCATTCCTCGCGTGATACCAAGTGATCTAAAAGAAAACCATCTATTCAAACAAAAAATTGATTGATTAATGAGTCTTCTATTGTAAGACTCCCGAGATACATCAGTCGCAATCTCGTGTCGTAACATATCATCGAGGTATCTTGAGGAAGAGCAGCAGTCGACACGGATTGAACAAAACGTCAGCATCAGGCTCTGCACCATTTCGTTTCTTTTCTGGTCGCTCATGCATGTTACATCCAAGAAGGAGCGGCAGCCTTCCACGGATGTCCTCTCGTCGTCGTCGTCGTCGTCGCCGCCGCCGCCGAGGAGCCGGGAGTTCGCTTCTGCTCTGTTTGCTTTGCAGCCGATCGACAAGGCGATCATTACCGAGGGATTCTAGATCGTCATTAGCGGGCAATTGAATGCACCGTAGGATGCGTGGCGAAGGAAGCGAACGGATGTAAGCCCGTTAGCCCGGCCAGACGCGATGCAGCTTCGCCATGACACTCGTTATAGCCGCGAGACTCTCGTTATGGAGGGATAAAGTCGCGATATAGGAGGATAGAGAACGGTACGGCTGTACGAGATGTTAACGGCGGATTGCGATACGTCTTCTGCCACACAGCAGACGCGAATCTGGGAGCATACGTGACAAACGAGACCCCCCCCCTCCACTCCAGTGCATAGAATATTCTTACGTCAACATAACAGTTAATTCGTTGGTATCAAATTGGATATTTCCTTATCTTGATTTCTAATAATTAAAATTGTGCACGAGAAGTGCGCGAGAAAACTGAATGAAGGCTACACTCTGATGGTCTCGGTCTGCCGTTGATTGATCATTGTCAACGTCATTGTTTATAGAACATATTTTTCATTCAGCTAAGAGGCATTATTCTATTATTATTTAACCCTGCGATGGGTGCGTGGTTCATCCCCGCGCAGGTGTGCATCCCCGCGTTCGAAATTATCGAGGTGCCGCCGGGCGACGAATTCGTTAACGAAAGTCGAAAAAATAGCTCGTACCGTCCGTCTGTTTCTCTCGTTCATGACCGATTTGTGATGCCGCGCGTCGATCGGAAAGAGGGAGAAGAAGAAAGACAGATAGAAACGTAAGGGAGGAAAGGGGGTATGGAGAGGATGGAGAGGTCCGGACGCGCGCGACGAGCCGAAAATAAGAAGACAGCAAAGTGGCCGGCTGGTCCAGTGGTGTCATGTGACCGGAAGTGGCATTCCTTCTTCGCCTCCCTCCGGCCACCATCGCCGTCTCTCTCTTCCACGAAGCTACGAGGAGCCCAGTACCAGGCCTCCCTCTTTCCAGATCTCCCCTTCCTCCACACCTCGTCCTCCTTCTACCTCTCCTCTTCCTCCTTCACCTCGTCCTTCCTCCTCCTCCTCCTCTTCCCGTCCCTCGTCGTGTTGTTACTTATCCCTTCCTCCACGCTCGAACGAACGCAGCGACAACGGAAGATTGCCCTCTCTTAGCGATTCGTTAAGCACGTCAAAAGACATCGGGGCATCATGAGGGACGTCGACAATGGATTTCCGTGTTTAAAGCGCGATATCGGGATATACCATGAAAATCATACGGGCGGACTCCTTTCTATCTCTTCTCATCCTCTTTTGCATCTAATTGAGGAAATCGGATAAAATGTGGGAGTAGTCGCGTAATTTATTATCAATAAATCTGTTCCTTCTCGTCGTCCTATATACATATATATATATA